ATCTTGTATTCTGTCTATAAAGGTAAAGTAAAGATGCAATTTAAGTAAAATCACTGAACTGCTACAGAAATATATGATGTATTCCTTCATATTTTATGTATATTTTTGATTTCCTATAACCATTAATATTGAAGGAAACAAGAGCATCAGTAAAACTTCCAAAATTTTTGATAAAAAAATCCTCTGTTGTTGCCAGTAAAACAAGATTTTTTTGTTTTGTACTTTGCGGAAGTACTAAAGAGCTTTCCACTATGATACATCTCAGACAACTTCTTAATTCCACAGGAAATTCCGTTAAATGTCAATGAAATTATTTACAAATAATCTTGTCCATCAATATTTGTTAACATTTTAAATGATTCGCTTTACCTTAAACAATACTGAAGTAACTAAGCTGGTGAAAAATCTTCACGTGCTTCTTAAAGAAACCAGCCAATTTTCTTCTTTTCAAAATTATTTCCGGGTCTCATGTTGTGCAAATATTTATATAAGTAATGAAAAGAATGTAAACGCCGTGACAACGCTGTCATATGTAACAGAGCGATCATATTTTATCAAAACCTGTCTCATGACAAGCCACACAAATTACCCAGAGTTGTTTCAAAAAAAGAATACCAGCCACACAATCTTTATTCTGTAATTTTATCCTTACATATGACTTAATGGTGCTTTTAGATGAATGTATAAATTGTGAAAGTATACTTCGACACGGTGTGCCAATATCCATTTCCTAGTTGATTATAATGCTCTTGAAGACGATGACTATCCACAAGTGGTTTTGTAAGAAAATCATTGTGAAAAATAACATCTGTATAAATCGCTTTTGCTGAAATATTCTTAGTAATTTTCACAATTTTAATGCACAATTAAAAATTTCTTATACTTTGTCTACAAAGAATTCCAGATGGGGACTTTGGAATCACCAAAGGCCCTGGGAAAGCTTGATCCGCTCCTTTTTACCACATCTATCCTACCAATGATCTTATCCTGCAGTTTTTAGATGAAAACACCAAACGTGGCTAGATTGAGAATGTTCTTGACGAGTCCCAGGGGGCATGCATCACTGAGAAATTTTTGATTTCGTAAAACAGTGAATCAAATGACAAATAACCAAGTTGTCCTTTAACTACTACCACTTCAACCCATGCAAGCAACTCCAATTCAGATGGTTGGACTGCAAACTTCTGTTTAGCAAAGGACTGTACATGGATGACGTCAAAGGACTTTGCTCTTTTTAATCGGGTATATTAGAAGTTAAGATTGTTTAAAAAAGAGCAAATACCATGGTGAATGGTTAAAATAATAACGTAACAGTTCTTAAAAGAACTGTTTAAAACCAGAACACTAAACTCAACAAGTCACCAAAACAAATTCAGAAATTAAAAGTACAAAAGTAATGTTCTGAAATTTCTTTTAATCGTTGTATTTACATTGTTTTACCATTAGCTTAGAATCTTAAATGAAAGAAAATTTTACAAAATTTTAGTAAATATGGGGACAATATAGAATTGCAAATCCGGTTTAAAATAAAGCGTATTCACTCCCAAGTAAGACATTTGAATTTTACGAATCATTTCAGTGTAAGAAATAATTGAAAATCTGCATTCTCCGGTATATATATATTTAGGCTATCTTCTACTTTAGGCTATCCTGCTCATCTGTCATTAATTATCATTAAAGATCAATGAATATTGCCCACTGATGAGCATAATTGAGATGTTCGCTCGCTGAAAACTACCATTACACGAAGCAAGGACAGCACTATCCATTGTGCAGTGACTCACACATTAAAATTTTGTTACATTTTGTTCACTAAATTGCTTCAATTGCAGTATGCTGTCTTTCTAGAAATTTTTAAATTAAAAATTGCTATTACCGCCCAAGCTTGCTGAAACAAAGCCACTCAATGTTAGCTTGTCTTTGGGGGTAGGTCAAATCTCACATCTACAGTAGACACGAAAATAAAGAAGCAAATAATAATGATCACGAAATTGTTTTATTCGTAAACATCTCTTACACTAATGCATATGAAATCATTCAATCGTAAAGAAATAATTTAAAGAGTTTGCCATTACACTCCTTGAAATTGCTTGATTTTTCTATCGAATTTCTACACTTAATTTCTTCATAAATAAAAGTTTACATGGTTTAACCATGATAATTAAAATAACAAAAGTAAAACTACGATTAAAACAATATTCTATTCAAAATGCTGTGTTAAAGTCAGTGTGTATGTTGTTGCCTTATAAAGGCAAGTAAAATACATTCACAAACTGTAGCATAGATGCCAAGATTCAAGTTTGTTCATGGCAAAAGATTATGTACACAGACACAATCATAAAGTATTCGGTTTAATATTGTTTAGAGATCAAATCTAGATTATATAATGAAGAACAAAATAAAACTTTATAAATGTAGTAACAGTCTTTACGTACTCTTGTTTTATTAACGACGATCGCCAGTTCTAAAGGAAATTTATAATAAGATTAAACTACCATAATAAGAGAAAGAAAAACATGTTTTCGGCATTTGTTAAAAAAATATTCAACAAATGAATCAATTTTTACTTTTTTCTTCAACCATCAAGTAATGACGTCGATCTTTGTGGATCTTTTCCAAAAGACAAAACTTACTATTCCTTCTTTTCATCGCCTTTTTTGTCATCCCTTTTCTTGTCGTCTTTTTTCTCGACAGGTGCCAGTTTACTCATATCAATCCTGGCGTATTCAGTCGGTGCAGGACGATTTTGGGCCGGGTTTTTTCAAGGGACATCTTTTAAATCAAGTGAGGAGTATAACTACAGAAAAAATACGTATATATTGTCATTACAAACATTGTTTTTTTCTATTATGTTTGAGCACTCTGGTTACAAAACAATCCATACAATGTGTAACCGTACATCCTGATCCCAAGTGCGGGAGTCACCATTTTACTATGGTGATAGCCGGGAGGGAGGGCACATTGTTATCACTTTGTATATACTTTATCATATATACATGATGATAAAATATATGTAGGTTTTTTAATCATCGTAAATGATCTAATAAACCCGTGACGTTAAATAAATTCCAAAGCAGTTCGAGAGAGGGGAGGGACGTTCAGTTGACACGAGTAGTGAAATAGAGAGAGACGTTTACATCATTTTCTATCACCTTATTGTGAGCAAACAGAAACAAAGTCAAGACTAAATATACGGTTTCTTAGCCCAATCGATAACAAAATTTAAATTATGACAATGTGCCGGGTTTGTCTATTGCAGACTGAGCGCTTATTAGAGACACTCGTCTAATATAAAATCAAGTTTCAATGAAGCAATTCGTATGTATTGTTTTCAAGTGTGTTTACAGGTCTTTGAGAATCAATTACTGCTAAATAACAATAATTCTAAATATCGGGTGCTTTCACATACGAGCAGTTTTTAAACCCCCCCCCCTGCATAATCCCATGATGCATTCAAATTAATCATCGCCATAATCCAACTACACAAAATAAATGCACAAATCCTATTTCTAAATAATAAATGACAAATATCCACAACAAACCGGATTTCCTTTCTGTTTCCTCTATCGATCGTACACAGGTGGTGGTGCTTTGCTTGTTGATGGTTTACTTTCATCACTTGTTGATGGATTATTTACTGTTTCATATTGATTACAACAGATTCATGAATCTGTTGGTAATAAATATGAAACAGTAAATAAGGATTTTCTCTAAGTTCTCCAGCCACTTCATAATGATTGGGTTGTGCATTATTAGCTCCTGCTAATGGTTCAACACCATTTTCACCACTGCAATATTAACAACTATGATTAAATTTTGTACATGATATAGACGAAACAAAGAAAATATAGATAAAACATTAATACAACAGTTAGTACTGTACGAAAAACAACAGCTTCTCTAACTTGCTCAAACCATGAAAATATTTTATTCAAAAGATGAGAAATAAAAAACACATTAACATCACATATCACACAAAGAAAATAAAAATAAATAATTCACTTACTGATATCCTTTTTCTACAATAAACATAACACAAAAGTAGATACTTAATAATTTAGCATTATGATAACATATGATAACAAGATTGGAGCATTTTGATTGAGCATTGGATAGATTGAATTGAACATTTCCATTAAGTCTAAGCTAAAGTTTGCTATAAAAGAGCGTTTTGCTTAAATTTTCCTTTAAGGATTTTTAGCATCTTAGGTAGCGCATGCACATTGAACAGAAAGAGCTAATATTATTTTAAACATAAATATGATTTTAAAGCATTGTAAATCAATTACCTTTCGTGTTGCAATCAGTAGATGAATATCTTGACAAATGCTTCAAAGACAAATGCTAAAATAGCTACACAGAAATCAACTCAAATTAAAATGTCAAAGAGATGAAAATGCTGACAGAATACTGAAAGACAGAAATAACTATCGAAAAAAATAATAATAATTGACCAAAAAGAACAATTCAAGTGAAAGAGTGAAGCTCCATCTTTTTACCTTGGTTGATAGCGAAATTCTTAACATCAAATCTTTGCCCAGTGTAAACTTCCTTCACAACGATAAAAAGAACGATAAAAAAGGCAAAATTTGATGCCACGGATCCGGGTGAAACAGTCTGAGTCCATAGAGCATGCGCAGTAGCTGATTTACAATTTGAGTACGATCACAATTTTAGACGGCCGAACTACGACTAGCGTAAGAATGGCCATGTCTAAGTCATTTACCAACAAGCGCACAGCGCGCTAGTCAGTAAAAGTCCAGATTAATGGAATTTTCCCACTAATTTGGTAACTAATGAGATTTTTGGCCGCTGCTTCATAAAGCAATTTACTTTATGAAAATTTTCATTTGCAAAAAAGACTTTTTTACAATCTTGTACTATCGTGTACAAATGCAAGTCAATTGAAGATGAACATTGACAAGTCGTAAATAATTCTGATTTACGTACAATGCAGCAAACTCTCTCGAAAATTAATGAAAGTAAGATTTTAACTTTACCTTTGATGATAGTAAGATTTTTAACATCAGATGAATCATTTCCCAGTTTATTCTTTGCTTGACAACGATATGAACCAGCGTGATTGAAGTTGACAGATTGAATGATGTATGTCTTATTATTACTGATAACTGCACCATTATGATAAATAGTGTAGTTTGGTTCAGGATAACCATCTGATTCACAGGTTATTGTCACATTTTGACCTTTTTTTACTGACATTGGACTGATGGTGATATTGGTTTGTTGTGGTCGATCTGTAAAGAATAAAATTAAATTCAATATCCTCATGGTATATGACAAGTTCATATCGAATATTCCATATTTGGAAATGTAGTTGGCAACATTAGAAAGTAACTTGGCAACCGCCATTTGAAAAGTTAACTGAAATCGACGGTAAACCGCTGCACTATTAACCAATTTGCTTATTGAAATTCTTATTGGTAAAAAAGACTTTGATGTTGGAAAAGAACAACAACGTAACAATAATCACTCAAATTTCAAGATGTATATTAAAAATAATTTTTGAAAATTTTAAAATTCAATCGCGTGACCGACTAGACCTAAAGAATATTCACTTATTATGAAGCCTAAAAAACTATCATTGGTCATCGAAGAACTATAAACAAATCATAGTCGTCTAAGGCTTTTGATAACCTATTTGATGAGGATATGCAATAGGAAAAGTTAACAGCTAGGTGACGACAGATGCATACGTCAGCGCAGTAGGCAGCGAAAGGGGCATATGAGATGTAGGCTTAAGAGTCAATCATAATTGGCAGTGGTAGTCTTTCAGCAAAACGAATCTAAATCTCGCCAACAAAGAAAAATATATAACTATCTTCATTGTTCAGCAAAATCTTGTACTATCGTGTACAAATGGGATGAAACTGAACAGTCGTAATTTGTTCTTGTACAATGTAGAATACTAGCCCAAAAATTGATGAAGTAAAATTTTAATTTTACCTTTGATGATAGTAAGATTTTTAACATCAGATGAATCATTTCCCAGTTTATTCTTTGCTTCACAACGATATGAACCAGCGTGATCGAAGTTGACAGATTGAATGATGTATGTCTTATTATTACTGATAACTGCACCATTATGATAAGTAGTGTAGGTTGGTTCAGGATAACCATCTGATTCACAGGTTATTGTCACATTTTGACCTTTTTTACTGACATTGGACTGATGGTGATATTGGTTTGTTGTGGTGGATCTGTATAGAATTAACAAAATTCAATATTCTGTAAACGTTTATAATGAGATCTGAAATGCTGTCTTACAAACTTACAAGTAGCTTTCACTGTTACTTCAATAGATTTTTCATCTCTAAAACGTGGATCATTATAACTTTGTGCTTTACATGTGTAATTTCCACCATCATTCAATGTAACATTAGTGATTACTAATGTCTTATTTACAACTCCAACATCACCAATTATGTTGTTATCTTTATCAAACCATGTGACATTAGCAGGAGGGATACCTCCTTCACCTCTACATACACATGATACATTATCACCTTCATTCACAACCAGAGGTGTTGAACAATTAATTACCACATTTGGTTTCACTGAAATTAAAAACAGAAAATATTCCTTTCTTAAATTAGTTATGAAAAAGAAAATTAATAATGAGAGTATTCGTTAGTGTTAGGTGCATTTTCTTAGGAGTGTTGGATCGATGCCCTAACCAGTCACAAGCCAGCAGTAAGCCCGCTCATCACTCGCTAAAAGTCCAGATCAGTGGAAATTTTTCACTAAACTGCTATCCAATGTGATTTTTGCATTAAACCGCTGCATTACTAACCAATTGTCTTAATGAAAATCTTATTTGTAAAAAAGACTTTGATGTTGCAAAAGAACAACAAAATAACAATAATCACTCAACTTTCAAGATGTATATTAATAATAAATTTTGAAATTTTGAAAGTCAATCGCGTGACCGACTAGACATAAACAATATTGACTTATTATGAAGCCTAAACAACTATCATTGGTCTTCGAAGAACTATAAACAAATCATAGTCGTCTAAGGCTCTTGATAACCTATTTAATGAGGATATGCAATAAGAAAAGTTAACAGCTAGGTGACGACAGATGCATACGTCAGCGCAGTAGGCAGCGAAAGGGGCATATGAGGTGTATGCTTAAGAGTCAATCATAATTGACAGTGGTAGTCTTTCAGCACAACGAATCTAAACCTCGCCAACAAAGAAAAATACATAACTACCTTCATTGTTCAGCACAATCTTGTACTATCGTGTACAAATGGAATGAAACTGAACAGTCGTAATTTGTTCATGTACAAGGCAGAATACTAGCCCAAAAATTGATGAAGTAAATTTTAATTTTACCTCTGATGATAGTAAGATTTTTAACATCAGATGAATCATTTCCCAGTTTATTTCTTGCTTGACAACGATATGAACCAGCGTTATTGAAGTTGACAGATTGAATGATGTATGTCTTATTATTACTGATAACTGCACCATTATGATAAATAGTGTAGGTTGGTTCAGGATAACCATCTGATTCACAGGTTATTGTCACAGTTTGACCTTTTCTAACTGATATCGGACTGATGGTGATATTGGTTTGTTGTGGTCGATCTGTATATAATTAACAAAATTCAATATTCTGTAAAAGTTTATAATGAGATCTAAAATGCTGTCTTATAAACTTACAAGCAGCTTTCACTGTTACTTCAATAGATTTTTCATCTCTAAAACGTGGATCATTATAACTCTGTGCTTTACATGTGTAATTTCCACCATCATTTAATGTAACATTAGTGATTACTAATGTCTTATTTACAACTCCAACATCACCAATTATGTTGTTATCTTTATCAAACCATGTGACATTAGCAGGAGGGTTACCTCCTTCACCTCTACATACACACGATACATTATCACCTTTATTCACAACCAGCGGTGTTGAACAATTAATTACCACATTTGGTTTCACTGAAATTAAAAACAGAAAATATTCCTTTCTTAAATTAGTTATGAAAAAGAAAATTAATAATGAGAGTATTCGTTAGTGTTAGTTGCATTTTCTTAGGAGTATTGGATCGATGCCCTAACCAGTCACAAGCCAGCACAAAGCCCGCTCATCACTTGCTAAAAGTCCAAATTAGTAGAAATTTTCCACTAAACTGCTATCCAATGAGATTTTTGCATTAAATCGCTGCATTGTTAACCAATTTGCTTATTGAAAATCTTATTTGTAAAAAAACTTTGATGTTGGAAAAGAACAACAACATAACAATAATCACTCAACTTTCAAGATGTATATTAATAATAATTTTTGAAATTTTGAAAGTCAATCGCGTGACCGACTAGACATAAACAATATTGACTTATTATGAAGCCTAAACAACTATCGTTGGTCTTCGAAGAACTATAAACAAATCATAGTCGTCTAAGGCTCTTGATAACCTATTTAATGAGGATATGCAATAGGCAAAGTTAAAAGCTAGGTGACGACAGATGCATAAGTTAGCGCAGTAGGCAGCGAAAGGGGCATATGAGGTGAGGCTTAAGAGTCAATCATAATTGACAGTGTTAGTCTTTCAGCAAAACGAATCTAAATCTCGCCAACAAAGAAAAATATATAACTATCTTCATTGTTCAGCACAATCTTGTACTATCGTGTACAAATGGGATGAAACTGAACAGTCGTAATTTGTTCATGTACAATGTAGAATACTAGCCCAAAAATTGATGAAGTAAAATTTTGATTTTACCTTTGATGATAGTAAGATTTTTAACATCAGATGAATCATTTCCCAGTTTATTCTTTGCTTCACAACGATATGAACCAGCGTTATTGAAGTTGACAGATTGAATGATGTATGTCTTATTATTACTGACAACTGCACCATTATGATAAATAGTGTAGGTTGGTTCAGGATAACCATCTGATTCACAGGTTATTGTCACACTTTCACCAATTTTTGCATCTATTTTTGATAGGGTTATGGTCGTACTTCTTGGTTGATCTAAAATTTAAAATTCAAAATTCTACGTATTTCACAATTTGAAAACTTTATTGCAAAAGTACTAAATATATAAGTTCGCAACTTACAATTCACTATTATTTCAATGGATTTTTCGTCAATGAAACGTGGATCATTAAAACTTTCAGCTTTACATCTGTAACTTCCACGATCATTTGGTGAGGCACCAGTGATTACTAAAGTCGCACTTTCAACTCCAAATTCACCAATTACGTTGTTATCTTTATCAAACCATGTGACATTAGCAGGAGGGTTACCTCCTTCACCTCTACATACACATGACACACTATCACTTTCATTCACAAACAGAGGAGATGAACAGTTAATCGACACTGTTGGTTTAACTGAAATTAAAGACAGAATCATAATAATAGTCATGATAGAAACAATATGTAAGTGTCAGTGGGGCTGGGGTAAAAACCGGAAGAGGAATGTTGGATCTATAAAGAATAAAATTCATTGTTGTATGTGCTGTGTATGTCAAATTTGATTGGTTCATTCGTAGTCACATGACTTAAAATAAACGCAATGTTTCCCGTCCGTGAAACAAGTGAAAAATTGTTGCGTGCTGATTTTAATATCATAAAAAATAAAACAGCTATGGAGCCGAAAACTAAAATTACAAGTCTCGAGTTTATTAAGCAACGAAATTCAACTAGTAATAGAAAAAAAAGATTGAGAAAAACCTTAGAAGTGCTCCAAAAATGATGTGATCGCCCTTATAGCATTTTGCAACAAAATCTCGACGAACAAATCTCCACCGAAAGAGACGTTGATTTCATTTAAAAGCTGTGAAAATCTATGAATTTTATTCCTATATATAACAAAACACTTAATGTTTGATTCCGTTAGAAATACTGAGCTTTGTTTTCCCTCGAATCGCATGCAATGTATTGAGACTCTTGGAAAACTAAACTCACTATTTTCCTTGGGAGCATACAATAAGGGTATAATATTCCAAAGTCATATTTTACCACACGTCAATAATAACAAAGTTGAAGACGAAGTTTTTAAACATCTATAGATGATAAAATATATATCTGCAAAACTTACATTTTACTTGTATTTCAATGGATTTTTGATCTCTGAAACCTGGATCATCATAACTTTGTGCTTTACATCTGTAACTTCCATTATCATTCACTTTAACATCAGGGATTACTAAAGTCGCATTTTTAACTCCAAACACACGAACTGTTGTGTTATCTTTATCAAACCATGTGACATTAGCAGGAGGGTTACCTCCTTCACCTCTACATATACATGACACATTATCACCTTTACTCACAACCAGAGGAGTTGGACAATTAATCACCACTGTAGGTTTTACTGAAAACAAAAGCAAAAAAATTTCACTGATTATGATAAAGAAAATGGACGCTGAAACAATCTTCTCCTTAACATAATGAAAAAATAAAGTCTAAAGGATTTTTCTGAAATTACAAAGCTTTGATAAACTTCCAACTAATAGCTGAAAATAGCAAATATTTCTTTCACAATTAATGCAACGCAATAAGAAGTCCTACGTTTTTATTGCCAATTTTGTGGTAAGAATTACGCTGACGCATGCTACTTAGATTGTCATCGGATGAGTTCAAAGAAAGTGACCATAACTTCTTGAAAAGGATATTTCTTTCGAATAGATTTTGCAAGAAATTATTAAGCAAATTACTTTTATCTACTAACGATGAAAAAAGAGAATGAAGCTCTTTCGTGTGATGACGTCAAAGCGGCCATGTTGATAGGCAACTTCAAAGGGCCTACGCTGAACACAACATAAAATCAATACAGATTCTTTTACCTATAGGAGATTTTCTACCAACATGGCGAGCAGTGAAAACATTCCATAACTAAGAATTTGTTTTTCGAAAGCAATGTCATCTTTATAGTTTGGAAGAAAACCATTCTGCCACACAACCCCAACCCCATTGGGCATTCTTTGTAGCAGCATTTGCAGCTGAATCTGAATTCAGATCTTGAGTATTATCATCATCCAGGTTGTCGAGGTCTGGTGGTTCTTCCAGTGTCTTTCGTATGTACCTACGATTTCTTCTGTGTTTTGTTCCGTAGTCGCATTTTACCATGTAGCTTCTGGGTGTTTGATGCTTTCGTATCATCGTTTCGCGAGTCCATGGTCATACCGAGTCTTGGCGAAATCTCACTCATTCACCTTCTTTCAGTTGTTGCGAAGCCTTGGCAGTGCAGTTATTGACGAGCAGTGTGAAATGGAGCTTGGTCGATAGGTTTGGGATACAGCTTACATTGTAAAGTAGGAATGGTTGATCAAAGCGGCTTGCGCAGGGCTCACACCGTCAATGGGGGTGTTACGATAGTCTAACAGCGCGAGATATTGTCGGTCTTGTCCATTCGTTTTGCATTTCTTGAGAATGTTTTTGACTGTCTGAACTGTTTATCTCACGTAATCCACCTGAGTGTGAATAACTCGGACTTATGGTGTTATGTGTGAAATGGTAGTCTAACGCAAACTGTGCATTCTTGCGATGAGTAATGAGGCTGATTATCACATACTATAGTTTCCAGAATTCCATGTCGACTAAATATGGACTTTGTCTTATTGACAAAGGTTTTGCTTTGGTGTTTCTTAATTGCCATTGGATTACGACGTCATCGTGACAATACTCAATTTCACTCAGAGTTTGGTTGCTATTCAGTTAAAAACAATGTTGAAAATTTTGTTGAATCTTAAAATTTTAGAGTTAGAGCTGGTGATCAAACTTTGGAAAATCATTTGTTCGAATGTGGCAAGCATAAACGAATATTGCCCAGAGAAGACAAAAAAATCATCACTTGCATTGATCAGGTAATATCGACGAAGATAAAAAATAGATATTATTCTATAGTCATCATTCAGTCATCGACTAAATTCACCTGTCTGTAACACTCTTTCTAACGCTGAAATTAATAACATGTTATCTGTTGTTTCTCAAGCTGCAAATTTCAACAACATATCACAGATACGCAACATGCCCTTTGCTGAGCACATGAAAAAGTCAGATAATCAGACTAAGAAGACAAAACTGGTAAGTTTTTGTAAAAACAGATGGGTTGAGCGAGTTTACATTCTTCAAACGTTCGAACTTTCATCCCTTTAATCGACACTCTTCAGGACATGATAAACAATGTAAACGACGAGGTAAAGCCTTCCCTTGCTGCTGATGCTTCTCACTTACTTTCATTAGTCACTTAATTTCATTTTATTGTTGCGCTAGTTTTTACCAAAAAGATTCTGGATGCTACTCCTCCAGTACGCAATTGTTGCATGGAAAAACTATTGATGTTATGGATGGTTTTCATTTGATAACCACTTTGAAGAATGATGTAGTCAACATGAGGAAGAGCATTGATTATTATCATTGATTTTTACCAACGGCGATTTCGCTCACTTTGTAACCCTGCAAAAATTGACAGTCAAGGTATTCCAAAATGCTTGAAATCGCATTTCTAGCACCTTATGTTTCAAAATTTCCCACGGGAGGATGTCCGGCGTCCGCTGTTCTATGGTGAAGTTTGAAAAATTCTAGAACCGCCTCTGGTAGCCAATATACACTTCAACCCATGATTTCGTAATCAACCAATAACATGAGCCATACGACGCATGCACATGGTTTGAATTTCTTAGTCCTCTAACGTTGCAACCACTGGTCTAATTATTTTTCTACGTTTCTAACTGAATAGATGTATTGCTTTCATTAATTTTCAAATGAAAAATATAAATTTCTAAAACTAATAAGAATACAATATAATAAAAATAGGGAGAACTTACTTGCAACAAAAACTCTGACTTTAGATATAAAACTAGGTAATGAATCGCCCTTTCTTCTCAATTGAAACTCATACGTTCCATCATAACTGTGAGTGATATTTCTTAATTGCAGCGTTGAAGGTTTGTAGACGTCATAATTTGGAAGAATTGGTTCATTAAAGTTTTGCACTGATAAATCCAGAAAGACAGTGGCCAAACGTATTGCTGTTTAACCATTACTACTACCCGTAAAAAACCAATCTCTACTGGCCACATCATTTAAATCATCATCAAATGTCCACGTTATATTGTGTGTTTCTCCAGGTAAAAATGTAAAACTTGTGCCAGGGGGAGGTGATAGAATTTTTCCTATTACAAGAAATTAAAGATAAAACTATAAAATCGAATAAAACTTATATCATTTTGAGCCAATAAAGACCAATTTTTAAATAAAAACAGTACCAAATGACAGATAACAAAAACATATCACACCTAAGTATATTTTTATCTATCATAACAACGACGACGACTACCACATGCATAATACCCTGTGAGCTGTTCAAATGAAAATATGATGACAGAGGAACTCAGGTTTTTGAAGCTGTTCCACAAAAAGGCACCACAATTATAGAGAGACCTATGTCACAGAGGATATGTACGACCTCAAGCGAAAATGCACCACAATTATAGAGAGACCTATGTCACAGAGGATATGTACGACCTCAAGCAAAAATGCACCACAATTATAGAGAGACCTATGTCACAGAGGATATGTACAACCTCAAGCAAAAATGGACCACAATTATAGAGACCTATGTCACAGAGGATATGTACAACCTCAAGCAAAAATGCACCACAATTATAGAGACCTATGTCACAGAGGATATGTACGACCTCAAGCAAAAATGGACCACAACTATAGAGAGACCTATGTCACAGAGGATATGTACGACCTCAAGCAAAAATGCACCACAATTATAGAGAGACCTATGTCACAGAGGATATGTACAACCTCAAGCAAAAATGCACCACAATTATAGAGAGGTCTATGTCACAGAAGATATGTACAACCTCAAGCAAAAATGGACCACAATTATAAAGAGACCTATGTCACAGAGGATATGTACGACCTCAAGCAAAAATGCACCACAACTATAGAGAGACCTATGTCACAGAGGATATGTAGGACCTCAAGCAAAAATGCACCACAATTATAGAGAGACCTATGTCACAGAGGATATGTACAACCTCAAGCAAAAATGGATCACCCTAAACTTCAGATTCAAACTCGTTAACATTGTTTTGTTCCCATGCAAAACATGGTGAGTTGTTTTCCATACGGTCGCTCTAGAATAACTTTCGGCGCCGTGTGCCTGAAAGCATGCGAAGTAAGGATAGGAAAATAAGCACCAACGCCTGTGTTGTGGAGTTCAAAGAGCATTTTTTATGATAGTTTTATGTTAAGACTTTTAAAGACCTTTTTTGCAATCTTGTACTATCGTGTACAAATGAAAATCAATTGAAGATGAACATTGACAAGTCGTAAATAATTCTGATTTACGTACAATGTAGGAAACTATCTCAAAAATTGATGAAAGTAAAATTTTAATTTTACCTTTGATGATGGTAAGATTTTTAACATCAGATAAATCATTTCCCAGTTTATTCTTTGCTTCACAACGATATGAACCAGCGTGATTGAAGTTGACAGATTGAATGATGTATGTCTTATTATTACTGATAACTGCACCATTATGATAAATAGTGTAGGTCGGTTCAGGATAACCATCTGATTCACAGGTTATTGTCACAGTTTGACCTTGTTTTACTGACATTGGACTGATGGTGATATTGGTTTGTTGTGGTGGATCTGTAAAGAATAAAATTAAATTCAATATCCTATACAAACGTTTATAATGAGATCTGAAATGCTGTCTTACAAACTTACAAGTAGCTTTCACTTTTACTTCAATAGATTTTTCATCTCTAAAACGTGGATCATTATAACTTTGTGCTTTACATGTGTAATTTCCACCATTATTCACTGTAACATTAGTGATTACTAATGTCTTACTTACAACTCCAACATCACCAATTATATTGTTATCTTTATCAAACCATGTGACTTTAGCAGGAGGGTTACCTCCTTCACCTCTACATACACATGATACATTATCACCTTCATTCACAACCAGAGGAGTTGAACAACTAATTGCAACATTTGGTTTTACTAAAAAAAGAGAAGACAAATTGAAGACATCGTTTTACATAAACACTATCTAACAACAATGCAGTGTAGAACAAAAATATTTTTAACCATGAAATGTTGAAATGTCTGTTACATCATTTCTTATGATGGTAAAAACTGTTTTTATCGTACGAATGATATTTTTATATTTTTCTAAAAACACAACAGATATACTGATTACTATTCGGCAGTCTAGAAAATCCTGGTAAAGGTCGGGGCCATTCTAGCACAATCGACAGAAATGCTTGTCCAGTGGAGGCAGATAAAATTGTCCGAGGTTGATGAAGTAACCAAACTTAACACGGATGCTCATGCGCTATTAGACCACACAACCTGTGAGCTATCATTTAGACGTTGGGCATCATTATAAAACCCACGTTACATAAACTACTTTCCCTAAACGATATAACGCAGAAAAAATGCGAAGCTGTTTTGGAAATCAACATCATGGAGGCAGCCTGGCGGATTGGTACACCAAAACAATACAAAGAAATTTTATCAAAATGGAAACAATACTGTGGTAAGCGGGCGATTAATCCAGTTTATCCAACTGCTAGCAACAAAATTTTGTTGAATGTTAAAATTTTAGAGTTAGAGCTGGTGATCAAACTTTGGAAAATCATTTGTTTAAATGTGACAAGCATAAACGAATATTGCCAAGACAAGCCAAAAAAAATCATCAATTGTTTTGATCAAGTAATATCGAAGGAGATAAAAAATAGATATTATTCTATCATTGCAGATGAAGCTGCGATTCTTCTGAAAAAGAACAGTTGCCCCTTGTTCAACGATTTGTTGATTCTTTAATGAATGCAATTTAAACACTCACTGTTAAAGTCATGGACTAAATTCATCTGTCTGTAAGACTCTTTCTAACGTTGAAATTAATAACATGTTATCTGTTGTTTGTCAAGCTGCCAATTTTATCAACATATCACAGATACGCAACATGCCCTTTGCTGAGCACGTGAAAAAGTCAGATGTTCAGACCAAGAAGGCAAAACTGGTAAGTTTTTGTAAAACCAGATGGGTTCAGCGAGTTTACATTCTTGAAACGTTGAAACGTTTATCCCTTTAATCGACACTCTTCAGGACATGATAAACAATGTAAACGACGATGTAAAGCCTTCCCTTGCTGCTGATGCTTCACTTACTTTCATGAGTCACTTAATTTCGTTTTATTGTTGCGCTAGTTTTTACCAAAAAGATTCTGGATGCTACTTTTCCAGTACGCAATTGTTGCATAGAGAAACTATGATGTTATGGATGGTTTTCATTTGATAACCACTTTGAAGAATGATGTAGTCAACATGAGGAAGAGCATTGATTATTATCATTGATTTTTACCAACGGCGATTTCGCTCACTTTGTAACCCTGCAAAAATTGTCAGTTAAGGTATTCCAAAATGCTTGAAATTGCATTTCTAGAACCTTATGTTTCAAAATTTCCAAAGGGAGGATTTCCGGCGTCCGCTGTTTTATGGATGACGTTTGAAAAATTCTAGAACCGCCTCTGGTAGCTAATATACACTTTAACCCATGATTTCGTAATCAACCAATAACATGAGCCATACGACGCATGCACATGGTTTGAATTTCTTAGTCCCCTAACGTTGCAACCACTGGTCTAATTATTTTTCTACGTTTCTAACTGAATAGATGTATTGCTTTAATTAATTTTCAAATGAAAAATATAAATTTCTAAAACTGATAAGAATATAAAATAATAAAAAAGGACGACTTACTTGCAACGAAAACTCTGACTTTAGATATAAAAGAAGATGACGCACTGCCCCTTCTTGTTAATTGAAACTCATAGGTTCCATCATAACTATGAGTGATATTTCTTAATCGCAGCGTTGAAGGTTTGTAGACGTCATAATTTGGAAGAATTGGATCATTAAGATTTATCACTGACAAATCCAGAGTGACAGTGGCCAACAGTGTTGATTGTGAACCAGTACTACTACCCGTAAAAAGCCAATTTCTACTGGCCAAATCGTTTAAATCATCATCAAATGTCCACGTTATATTTTCTGTTTCTCCAGGTAAAAATGTAAAACTATTGGCAGGAGGAGGTGATAGAATTACTCCTATGATCAGAAATGAAAGATAAATGAATAAAAATAGGTACAAAGTGCGTACATATGGTTTTGAAATAATTTAAATGTTTATTTAAAGTACATAAAAATATACGAGAATTTATAAGAAACTTTACGAAAACATCTTTAGTGAAATCCCAAAGTTATTTCATTTCGTAAAAGCGAAAATAAGCAACATCCTCAAGAAATCTCTCCAATTTTAACTATAAATTCATTACTATTTTAAATGCAAACCATTTTTGAGATAATTACTATTTTTAACAATTGTCTTTCCAACGTTTACTGAAAAATCAGATAGCATTGAAAATTATACAACTGTATTAAGCCTGTGTAGTTTTGTTTTTACTCTTGTCTTCATAACATTTTGATAGGACTTAATTGCCAACGATTTGTTCCAATTGAGATTAATTTCAAACTTATGTTTAATCTTTCAACTCAGAAGGATTGCAAATAGCATGACATAGCAAATATTTCATATTCGATAACAGAAATGCCAAATAAATAGACTTTAGTTATCATAAAAATTTATTAAGTGTAAAGTGCCACAAGATTCTACGTATTTTAGGGCCATTACGTTTTGTACTGAACATTAACGATTGGCCTTACTGTCTAACAAAAACAAAACCTCCATTGTTTGCTGGTGACTCCATAACTTATCTAAAGTGTGGCAATTTAGTGTTTCTTTAAAGTTTGCAAATTGAAAAGCAACATGCTACAATGATAACAAGCCTGTCACTAACTATAAAAGCAATGATTAACAACATAAATAATTAGGGAAACTCTCTGAAGCTTTCAAATTATGTTAAAACTTCACTGTAAAACAAAACTAGCAATGCAACGGATAATGCAAATTGCAAAGGAGCTTTGGCCTATTTTTGCCTCCTGGAGCCGAGTCTGTTTAACTCCAGCAAAACACTCTGGCAGAAGTTGTTTGTGATATAAAATATACTGCCAGACTTTGGAAAAATATTAAATCAAAACATTTTTTATCAACGAATGATAACTATCTGCTAAAATTGAAGAACTTGCATATACAAATAAAACTTACATGAAAATAAAGCAGGACACATGCTAATTACTGATTGAAAGTCGAAGTGCGGAAATTTAACTAGAATGTAAAAGATGAACATTACTTTAACCAGATATCAAAAGACAGCAATCAGTTTCCAACTATAATGAAGTACTTGAGAAAAATTATGAAAACCCTACAGTCCCAGGATTCACAAAAAAATTTGTGAAACTGATAAGCAGGTTTTTTAAATTTACAAACAAGTTTTTTTCCTTTTAAAATTGAACTGAATGATTACAAAATAGTTTTAGTACATCAGGGCCAAATGTGATCTTTCTAAGCAAAAAAAGCAATGCTACATAAGAAGCTAAAATTGCTAGAAGTGATGAACCTTGAAATTAAATGATCAAGGTCAATTTCTAATTAACAGAAGATTTAGTGCATTGGTGTATGAATAAAGTCATGGGCAATTAAACATTCTTCACACATTGGTATGAGTATCAATTGATAAATAATAAAAGCTGGCATATAAATATTTAATAATTTATAATTTAGATTCATAATTGCACTACAGCCCGCATAGAGCAACATATTTTATAATGGTGAAACACATTTGGTATTATTGTACAAGCATAGGTGCTATCATTATTTACTGCAAAAAATGTCAATTACCCTATTGTAAATGAGATATTCTTACTTCTTTGCTAAATAGCCATTATGTGCATGTATTTAAAAGATGAAAATACTGCAAGATATTGCTTTTGGATTATGTTTAAATGGAGAACTGGCTACGATAAGTGTTATTGTGTACACATGAGAAATTAAAACCAGCAAGTATTTTAGTCAATTTAGCTTAAATTTCTAAGAAATTCCACAGTTTTATTTAACAAAAATAATCATTAACTTCTTTAATAATCTAATAAAATAATAAATACCTTGACAAGATGAAATCCAACAGAGCAAAACAAATGAAAGGAAGCCAAACTTTGCCATCTTGTATTCTGTCTATAAAGGTTAAGGTGAAGATGCAACTTAAGTAAAATCACAGAACTGCTACATAAATATATGATGTATTCCTTTATATTTTATGTATATTTTTAATTTCCCATAATATTCAAGGAACAAGAGCATCAGTAAAAACTTACAAAAGTTTCGTTGGAAAACGTTGTGTTTATACATCGTTTTGTACTTTGCAGAAGTACTGGCGTACTTTCCACTATGATACAACTCAGACAACTCTTAATCCACAGGAAATTCCGTGAAATGTCAATAAAATTATTTACAAATGAACTGAACAGTCAATATTTGATAACATTTTAAATGATTCACTTTACCTTAAACAATACTGAAGTAACTAAGCTGGGAAAAATCTTCTCGTATTTCTTGAATAAACCAGCTAATTTTCCTTATTTCACATTATTTCCGGGTCTCATGTTGCGCAAATATTTATATAAGTAATGAAAAGAATGTAAACGCTGTGACAACGCTGTCATATGTAACAGAGCGATCATATTTTATCAAAACCTCTCTCATGACAAGCCACGCAAATTACCCAGAGTTGTTTTAAAACAGAATACCAGCCACACAATCTTTATTCTGTAATTTTATCCTTACATATGACTTAATGGTGCTTTTAGATGAATGTATAAATTGTGAAAGCATACTTCGACACGTTGTGCCAATATCCATTTCCTAGTTGATTACAATGCTCTTGAAGACGGTGAGCATCCACAAGTGGATTTTGTAAGAAAATCATTGTGAAAAATAACATCTGTATAAATCGCTTTTGCTGAAATATTCTTAGTAATTTTCACAATTTTAATGCACAATTAAAAATTTCTTATACTTTGTCTACAAAGAATTCCAGATGGGGGACTTTGGAATCGCCAGGGCCCTGGGAAAGCTTGATCCACCCCCCTGCTTACCCTATCTATCTTACCAATGATCTTATCCTGCAGTCTTTAGTTGAAAATACCAAACGTGGCTAGATTGAGAATGTTCTTGACGAGTCCCAGGGGCATGCATCACTGAGAAATTTTGATTTCGTTAAACAGTGAATCAAATGACAAATAACCAAGTTGTCCTTTAACTTCACCATTTCAACCTAAGCGACTTCAATTCAGATGGTTGGACTGCAAACTTCTGTTTAGCAAAGGACTGTACATGGATGACGTCAGACGACTTTGCTCTTTTTAATCGGGTATATTAGAATTTAAAATTGTTTAAAAAAGAGCAAATACCATGGTGAATGGTTAAAATAATGACGTAATAGTTCTTAAAAGAACTGTTTAAAACCAGAACACTAAGCCCAACAAGTCACGAAAACAAATTCAGAAATTAAAAGTACAAAAGTAATGTTCTATAATTTCTTTTAATCGTTGTATTTACATTGTTTTACCATTAGCTTAGAATCTTAAATGAAAGAAAATTTTACAAAATTTGGGGACAATATAGAATTGCAAATCCGGTTTAAAATAAAGCGTCAATACAGATTGGATTAAAATTTCATGCAACGCTACCAAGCTGAACTTACTTTGCTTTTATTTACGACAGCAGAAAATGACAACAACTATAATGGCGACAAGGAAAACCGCTCCAACAGCAATACCAACAATCAGAGCAATATTTGGTCCATCATCATCATCATCTATAACTGTAAAATTATTGTTACCATTATCTTTGCTTGTAGAAGTATTTTGGCTAACTTAAATAAAGAGTTGTGAACTTTGATAAATTTTATCAAACAGTCTTCTTGACGACCCCAAATTCAAACATTAATCAATAGCTTTTTAAATAGGTCTAGCAAATAGTTTGAAATAGCCAGAATGAAACAATGCGATATGCAAAAAAAAATAAAATTCACAATACACACTAAAGTTAGTGTCAGGTCATACGTAAATTGATAAATTAATAAAAAAAGTTTAAAAAACAAATGGTGAGACACACTCTCCATAAATGATGTTCCACATGAAAGAATTAAAGAAAAAAACGTTAAAAAAGTTACCGTTATTAGTGGGAGTGGAACTAATTGATGACGTAAAGGTAAACGTCATCGATGACGTAATTATCGACGGCGATAGACTGAATGAGCTTGATATAGGAGCTAGCACAATTACAAAATTTGTTCAAATGAGAATGATTCCAATATTGAAATTCCTTCAATATTGAAATGCGTGCCACCAAATCGTGAAAATTTGCTAATTTGAAATTCCAGTCATTTAAGCAATTCACGCCAAGTAATAATCGTTATGGTTAATGCAGCATGCAGACATTGCCAGTCTTTGCTTTACCACACGAGCCAGTAAAAAGTTATGTAATCAGAGCAATCTTCGTTGTTTAGTGAAATTTTATTGTTATAAGGGTATTCAAGCGCATTCAAGAAGTCTAATGCTAATTACAATAAGATAAACATCGGTCTTTCACCTTTTGCTACCAAGAAAGTTCGTACATAATGCAAAATAAAAGTCCAACAAGTGATAAACTGAGGCTCTTAATTTTACCTTCGTTGACAGTGAGATTTTTCACTTGAGATGAATCATTTCCCAGTTTATTCTTTGCTTCACAACGATACGAACCAGCATCACTGAAGTTGACGGACTGAATGGTGTGTGTTTTTTCATTGCTGACAACAGAGGTGTTATCATTGTGGTAAATGGTGTAGGTTGGTTCAGGATGCCCATCTGACTCACAGGATATTGTCACACTTTGACCTTTTGTGGCTGGCATTGGAATGATGGTAATATTGGTTTGTCGTGGTCGGTCTAAAAATAAAATTTAATATTCACACACACACTTCCACAGTAACGTATTTGAAAACTAAAACATCTATAGCAACAAAAGTATAAATATAGAAGTTGAAGACTTACATTGCACTACTATTTCAATAGACTTCTGATCTCTAAAACGTGGATCATTATGACTTTGTGCTTTACATCTGTAACTTCCACCATCATTCACTGCAACATTAGTGATTACTAATGTCTTATTTACAACTCAACATCACCAATTATATTGTTATCTTTATCAAACCATGTGACTTTAGCAGGAGGGATACCTCCTTCACCTCTACATACACATGATACATTATCACCTTCATTCACAACCAGAGGAGTTGAACAATGAATTACTACCTTTGGTTTCACTGAAATTTAAAACAGAAAATATTCCTTTCTTAAATTAGTTATGAAAAAGAAAATTTATAATGAGAGTAGTCGTTAGTGTTAGGTGCATTTTCTTAGGACTGCTGGATCAATGCCCTAACCAGTCACAAGCCAGCAGAAAGCCCGCTTATCACTGGCTAAAAGTCCAGATTAGTGGAAATTTTCCACTAAACTGCTATCCAATGAGATTTTGCATTAAACCGCTGCATTAACAACCAATTTGCTTATTGAAAATCTTATTTGTGAAAAAGACTTTGATGTTGCAAAAGAACAACAACGTAACAATAATCACTCAAATTTCAAGATGCATATTAATAATAAATTTTGAAATTTTGAAAGTCAATCGCGTGACCGACTAGACATAAACAATATTGACTTATTATGAAGCCTAAACAACTATCGTTGGTCTTCGAAGAGCTATAAACAAATCATAGTCGTCTAAGGCTTTTGATAACCTATTTAATGAGGATATGCAATAGGCAAAGTTAAAAGCTAGGTGACGACAGATGCATACGTCAGCGCAGCAGGCAGCAAAGAGGGCATTGATGCCTAAATGTCAAACGTTTATAATGAGATCTGAAATGCTTTCTTACAAAACTTACAAGTAGCTTTCACTGTTACTTCAATAGATTTTTCATCTCTAAAACGTGGATCATTATAACTTTGTGCTTTACATGTGTAATTTCCACCATCATTCAATGTAACATTAGTGATTACTAATGTCTTACTTACAACTCCAACATCACCAATTATGTTGTTATCTTTATCAAACCATGTGACATTAGCAGGAGGGCTACCTCCTTCACCTCTACATACACATGACACATTATCACCTTCATTCACAACCAGAGGATTTGAACAATTAATTATCACATTTGGTTTAGCTGAAAACAAAAACAGAAAATTTTCAGTCAGTATTCAAAATAAAGAAAATGAATATATGGTGAAAAGTAATTGATAAATAAAATCAAGTTGTTTTAAACATAGCAACCCCCATTAGGAATTTAGGAAAGCAACATTTTACATAAGTTTTATTAACTATAGGAGAGCAATTGCCATGGTGAATGGACTGAAACCAAATAAAAAACCACGAAACCCAAGATAAAACCGAGAAAAAAACTAACCAGAAAAACTAACCAGAAAAAAACAAAGAAAAAATCAAGAGTTCGGAAAAGAACTGTTTTAGAAAGTTAAGACACAGCAAAACAAATTGATCAAATCCTCCAACCGTTTGACAGAGGAGTGCATATCAGGCAATGGCGCGTTGTCAAAGGTCGGTAGGTATGAAATTATTGATGCTTTAACTTGTAAGCAAGTAAACAATGAGAAATTATAAGTTCCACTATTCAAACACATTTTTGGTAGGAGTGCATCACAACTCATTGATCGATACACATCCTGTAAAAGAAGAACTTTGTGGAGATAGTAAATCCATCCTTGTAGCCACAAATGACCTTTTCATTACATACATATGTTGTTTGTCAAATGGATGTTTAAACGTCTGAAATCAAGTGGATTGAAAGAGCAAGAAATGCAAAGTCTAGCGTGGTTAATATCGAACGCAGTTACAAATGCTGCATGAGATTGGTAAGTGACCTTTACCATCTTCATTGTAAGACTAGTCGCAAAATTCATAGAAACCATCGCTATGCTTCTGACCGTGTACTTGTTGTGACAAATAGAAGATTGCCATTCATTGAAATCAACGAAAGTTCAGACAGTGGAAGTATAAAAAAGTGATGAAAGAACTTCATTGACTGATTTCACTTACGAAAGTTTGTGGCAAAGTCAAATAAGGGCATTCGGTAAAACGAATAAGCATGTAAAACGACGAGCGGAACATATATAAGTAAACAGGTACAACAAAAACATTTCACTATAGAAATAGTGAAGACAAAACAACAAAACAAATACTGAAGACATTATTGAAGCCAGCTGACTATTGAACAACATGCAAGATCATACCAAATAGTGTTTTTCATAACATGTGCTGTCATTTGAATTATGCTGACTTGGGGTCTGAAAATGAATTGAAAAGCCACGAAGAAAGAGTCAATATTTCTTTCAAACGGATTTCCAAAGAAATTATTAATTTAAGCAAATTGCTTTTATCTACAAACGAAACAGAGAGGTCTCTTTTTGGACGTGCCAAGTACCCTGTATTCATTAGGCTACAACAGAAGAGCAACGCTTCAAATAATATTGAAAACCAAACTAAGAGCATGGTGCTTTTTATTGTGACGTCAAAGAGGTCGTTGAACAGCATGAAGAATTCAACAACACCTTGAAGAATATTTTACCTTTGACGAGACTATCACGAGACTATCCAGATTCTGGTTTTGTAAGTGTTGATCTTGTCTTTGCATTTTAGCCATTTCTTCTGTGTTGAAGACTAAAACTTCACTTACTTTCCTGATTGTGGACAGCAGGCTTGAATCTATATTCAACTCTCTCTTTTGTCCAAGAAGAACATGCTTTCAAACCGGTTGATAATTACATTTTACCTTCTTTAGGCGAGGAACTAAGAAATCGTTGAGATATGAATGGCTCGAACATTTTTTTTGGCTGTGTTATTCATCAAAAGAAGATCGTGTTTATTGCTTATGATGTGTGCTTTTTGGACACAAATTCCCAAGTAAATGCTCAAGACTAAATGTTCACCCTTTCGTCATTGGAATGATGCTGTAGGTAAATTTAGGCGACATGTTGGAACTTACATGGGAGGAAAATGGAACCACATGTTTCTACTTCTCCAATTTTGGATAATGAACGATCTCAATTGTCAGGTGTAGCTTGGAAAACGTACAATGGGCCTTTTCCGGACAACATCGTCAAAACACTGAAGCATGTATCATTTCCAGGATTTGAAAATATTAAAGTTAATCTTTGTATTTTAGGTAATGAATGTGAGACATGAATTTCAGCACTGAGGAATCTAAGAACCTATCAAAGGAGCTTTATGATAGAAGAGCTTTTAATTTGCTTGGCTTTGATGCAAATTTATGCAGAAATTATTTCTGACATTGAAAGTGTGATTAACAAGTTTGCTGAAGATAATATCCGTTTATTATTTTCTAAATGTGTCATTGATATTTACTTTCCTGCAGAAACTCGGAGAGCACAAATGTCTGCTATAATGCGCTTTAGGAATTCAGACTCTGAAGATGACTACCGCTAAGGTTGTCGAAACGTCAGTCAGCAACAACAAAAACAGTCTTTCTCAGGACTATGCCAACCTGGACGATCTACATTTACAAACATGTAACGATACTCCCGGGTTCAAACCATTTACTTTGTTAAAACAAATGTCTCGACATCAACCACGTGCGCGCGAAATTTTGCTTCTTTATCATAAAGTTCGGTGCACGTTCTATTTTCTTTCGTCTTGTTTCCGTTATCTTTGGCAGATCTTTCTGGTGGAATATCTTTTTCTTTCGTTTCATCTGTTTTGGGCAAATTCAGAATCAAGCTTTTAACATCAACATCTGTAAGCGTGGATAGACTGTTCTTTGTTCGGCGAGACATAATAGTGATATTACCAGTTGATCAATTGATATCAAATTTTATACCACAAAAATCAAAAGTGGTATCAATAACTAATTTTTTGTCCTATACTCAAATGTAGTAAAATCTGTGATACAAACACTTTAACATAGATTATTCAAATCAAAAGATACCCTATAGTTTCTTTTTTAAATTAAAACAGAACAAAACAAGTCTTCGTATTTGTCTTCGCTCAACGGCTCAAGTATTTAGCTATAGGATTCCAGACTGCGGTCATATATCGTATAATTACGCCCGATGCTACAGCTACTCAGATTACATGAAAGGCTTGGATAACCCCGCTGCTAAGTTTAAAATAATTAATACAACTTACTTGCAATAAACACTTCAACAGATGAGCCAAAGGGATCAGGAGCATGGATAGAAAATTTATAAACACCAATGTAACTTTGAGTAACATTCTTTAACATTAGAGTTGCAGGTTTAAAAACTTCAACATCTAAACCCAAAGACTTAAGGACTGATGTACGATAATGTGGTTTTTTATCATCAATTATTCTTACAATTACTTGAGCTGCAGAAGAAGGAGTGTCAAATGTCCTAAAGGTCCAGCTCCGAAAAAGAAAGTTTCCAATCTTATTTAATGTCCAAGTTATATTGTGAGAAGATCCAGGCAAAAATACAAATTTTTGACCATCAGGTGGAGATATTATTGTTCCTGAAATTGAAATTTAGCTAATATCTATGACTGATAAAAAGATAGTTTAGGTAAAAAATACATCTTCTCCTAACATAACAAAAGTAATTGATTTTCTTAATTCAGGTTCTATTCAAAAATTGCGAGTAAAAAATAAACTAATTAAATATTACTACTACAACAACTAAAAATACATCAAAATCATTTAAGTAAGAAAAGAAATGGATATTTGAAGTTAAATACCTTGGCAAGACCAAGAAATGTGATCAATGTAACAGTCGAAAATACTAAATTTGTCTTTACCATTTTCACTAAAAAATTAAATGATGAATTTTAATGCTTATGATCTTTGAAAATAAAATCATGAGTCAACATGGTTAGTGCTGTGAAAATTCCAGTTTTCCAGCTGCGGCTTATCAATTCTGAACTGGTAAAAATAGTCGGCGCTGTGGCCCATCTCCTGTGCACAGAACTAAACATGGTGCATCAAAATAGATAGTAATTTCTACTCGTAAATGGCAACATTTTGCGTAGCAATATGTTCGATTAATTCTACTACAGAAATATCTTTATCATTGCAATAAATTTTTTGTGTTTTAATTTGCTTTATAAAATAAAAACAGTAAAACATGTGCGCTGATTGGTCAAAGGCTGAGTTTGCATTAGCCTGGGTAAACTGATTTTAGCTGAACCTCAATCAATTAAAGAGATTTTGTTAACCATTCACTAATGAACTTTGTGGAAAAGAGAAAGGTTACATTAGCAAACAAGTTACCCAACGTGAAATTGCTTTATATGTAGCATTTACATGTGTGCTAGGGTAACCCTGAGGGTTAAGGTTTCCATATCAAATTGATAAGGTTACCACAACAGTTGAGTTATGTTTTTTTGTCATAAACCATAAAAATGTTTGAGATAAGGTAATCCCTTTCAGTAGAACTATGTTCACATCATATCTAAAATAAACAACAAACCCCCCTGAACAGATCACAGCAATTACAGGCACGTTACAAACGACTTATTCACAATACAAACAAACGATCAACCAAAAACATTACACTTCAAACTAATTCACAATGACAATACACAATTGACACCCACACACAGGGGCGGATCTAGGGGTAGGCACCATAGGCAAGTGCCTATGGTGAAATTACCAAAATATACTTCGACTTAGATTCGATACGAATTTATCGAATTATGAAACTATGAATAGCACTTTATCGCAGTCAAATCATCTGACTTTTGTTTAGAAATGTTGTGCAATTAAATGACGTAATTTTGATATGAATCGTAGTCCAGATGCGTATGATTATCTATAAAGCTCCGTGTCGTTAGGCAAAGCAGCCATTTTGCCTAAGTCAAGAAGGCGATCTAGCCATTTGATTGGTTGTTAGCAATTTGCCTAAACAAGATGAATTTGCCTAACTTGACATCGTGTATAGGTATTCTGATTGGGCAATTTTTTGCAACCGTATGCTTTCATTGGTCATTTTTTTTTGCCTAACTTGAGCAATTTCAACCAATCATTGCTGTTGATAAGCATAGTTGAGCTAGGCAAATTAGGCAATTGAAAATTAACATACACTCGTATTGTTTCTGAACAGCCTCTGTGCTCAGTTTACGGTTTTGTGATATTTTATAATGTCTTCATTGTGTTGTGGTAATTTATACGAGACTGCTCAGTCTGCGTTGGCCAAAAACGATTTAAAATGCCTTAATGAGCTTTATTCTCGTTTATTGGTCGACGTTCGACCTATGTTTACTAACGAGCAGCTGTTAGATAGAATTTATGACCCCGACCATACTCTGTGTCGAAATTTTGGAGCTGAAATATATGTGCCAAAGCACGCTCATGACGGAAAGACTTGTACTGCAATAAGGTAAATATATTATAATTATATATATCGTATTGTAGTATTTATATATACGTGTAAAATGGTTAAATCTCAATTTCGCTAGGCTATATCTTTGTCTACAGTCAGCAATTCATTCATACAATGCAATCAATCTACCAAACAAAATATTAATTTCTTTTCTTGAATATTTTTTAAGATCTGAAGCTTCTGGCAATTGCCTCTACAGTTCAGCTTCCTAGTTCTGGTAGGTAACAATGCATTGGTCCCTACTTTGCGAATTTTAACATCGCTTGAGCTATTTATTCATGCTGCTTTTATGCTCAACACCCATGCTTTTTGTCTGTTATAAGTGAGCACAGTGATTACTTTGCCCAAAGCTTAAACAATCTTTTGCCTTTGTCAGTGTCTAAAGAATGTTTAGACACTGGATATACAACAGATGAACTGGTAAAACAGGAGGCTATTTTAAATTGTAATGACCAGAAATGGTCATCTTTTCTTTGTATTTTGGGCCTATCTTCTGTTTTAGGTAGAAAAATTCATACTTTTATCCTGATTCTGGTGAAAGTAGATATAAATTGTTATTTAATCGTATTGTTCAGCCCGGTTATTAAGCCAAAGAGGTTTGGATGCTATTAATATTTTGTTTTGTCATGAAGGATCTGTACAACCAGGTGAGACTTTTCAGTCTAATCATTTTGTGCCTCTCATTTTCCATGCCCACAGGTTGAAGCGAAAATTGTCTAATTCCTGTACACAGTCTAATTCTAGCAGCTCAACAACAGAGAAACGAAAATTTGTCAAAATTTTTCCAAATATTGCACAAAAAACAGTTGACATTTCAAATTTTTTTACTTCAACTAATAGGCCTGCTGCCCAACCAACTTTTAAAAGGATGCCCAATGAGAGTTTTTCTTCTGCTGCAGCTCTTGCTCAGACATTAAATAAAGCCAATAGTCTTTTGCTTCACACATCATCCCAGGAACTATTGCCTGGTATTCCAACTTCTGGTGATATGCAACCTGCTGTTTTAACCCATAATTTTGATGTTTCCTTGTATAGGGAGAAAGTTAAGGGTATGGATAATTCTGAAATATGTCATTTGATAAAAAATGTATATAAACCAGATAAAAAGTATCATTTTCCTAAATCTAATGGCAGATCATTTAGGCATGATTGGCTAGACCAGCATGAATGGCTTTGCTATTCACCTTCACAAAATGGTGCGTATTGTCTATCGTGTGTGTTGTTTGGCAATAGATTCCCAGGCAAGGCCAGTAAAGTAAAAAAGTTGTTTACTGAACCTCTTCAAGATTGGAAGAATGCTAAATGCTCTTTCACTCAACATGCTGGAAAAAGTAAAGGAGGGAAGTCGGTTTGCATGCATCCACATCACCAATTTTGATGCTTTATGTTCCCAAATATCAGGTACTCTGCAGCCTATCGAGATGATCATGGATGCTGGTATCAAGAAAGAAATAGAACAGAATAGGGAAATACTATCTCCAATTATTGATTCTGTCATTTTTTGTGGACGTCTAGGTTTACCTCTTCGTGGGCATCGTGATGATTCCAAGTATCACCCTACTGTTGGTTGTTATTCATCTGGAGGGTTGGTAATTTCATTGAAACACTCAATTATGGAGTTAGGAGAGGGGATAAAGTTTTAGAAAATCATTTAAAGAATTGTGGTAAGAATAGAAGTTATATTTCTAAAACAAGTCAAAATAAAATCATTAAATGTTGTGGCCAGGTAATCAGTAATCAGATTATTTCTGATATCAAAAAGTAAGTTTTTTCTGTTATTGCTGATGAAGCATCTGATTCTTCACATAAAGAACAAATGTCTCTTGTTTTGCGCTTTGTTGATACCGATATGAATATCAGGGAAGAATTCATTTCATTTCTTTTTGTAAGTGGGGACTAAGTGGTGCTCAACTTGCCAAGCTACTTTTAGAGGCTCTAAAGGAACTGACTTTATCAATAGATGATTGTAGGGGGCAAGGTTATGATGGGGCTGGTTCAGTTGCTGGTTGCACTAATGGTCTAGCAGCTCAAATTTTAAAGCTTAACCCAAAGGCTCTTTATACACACTGCTATAGTCATAGGTTAAACTTATCCATTTGCGATTCTTTGAGTATACGTGTTGTCAATGATATGTTGAAACATGTTAACAATGCCACTAATTTTATTAAAATTTCCCAAACTCGCAATATTCCTTTGAAAACATATACGTAATTCAGAAACAAACTCGAAAAAGACTAGATTAACAGACGTTTGCAAAACTAGATGGGTAGAACGTATCGAAGGTTTAGATACATTCCAAGAGCTTTTGTACCTGTATACACCACCCTTAACGATATGTCTGAAAATCTAGATGGTGAGTTCAAACCGTCGCTTCAGTCTGATGCCTCATCTTTGTTTCAACTTATTGACAGGTTTGATTTCGTCGTTGCTTTAGTTATCACGAGAAATATTCTTGATTCAACTCTTCCAGTAACACAGTTATTACAGGGTAAGAGTATCGATATAATGGATGGTATTCATTTAATTTCAACTTTGAAAACTGAGGTGGTGAACATGAGGAATTCCTCTGATTTTATCATGACACCTGGTATGACGAAGCGCTTGAACTGGCAGCAAAAGTTGGCATTGAAGAATGGAAACCAAGAACAGTGCGCAAACAAACGACCAGGGAAAATATTCCCCACACAACCATTTCTGAGTATTATAAACGTGCAATTACTCTTCCTCTACTAGATCATTTGCAATCTTCTTTAGAATCACGATTCGACCTTGAGAGTGTGAATGTCTATAAAGGCCTTAGCATTGTACCGACGAAAATGATGTCCATGACAAGAGATGGGGTGGATTGGAAAGAGCCATTCAAAACTGTGGCTAACTTTTATTATGATGATTTGCCAAATCCTTTGGCCTTAGATGCTGAACTTAGGTTGTGGTACACTTATTGGGAGACCCACTGCGGCCTCCTTCCTGATAACATTGCCCAGACTTTAAAATCTGTTCATTTCGCCGGATTTGAAAACATTAAAATTTTACTACGTATTTTAGGAACGCTCCCCATTACCTCTTGTGAATGTGAACGATCTATTTCTTCCCTTAGGACACTTAAAAACTATCAGCGAAGTACCATGGTTGGGGAACGCTTAAATGGTTTGGCCTTGATGCAAATTCATCAGGAAATTGTACCAGATATTGGTGAGGTTATTAATACTTTTGCTGTTGGAAATACAAGGCTAAAATTTGCATGAATTTATTCATATCCTAGTTTTTTATTTTGTTGAAATGTCCATATGTTAACCATTTATTGTGCGTTGTACACAATAGTAACGTCAATAGAATTTGCATCAAACTAATAGCTCGCCCGATAAAGGTTTTTTCCTATATACATTCCAATCTTAAAACTGCTGAGTACGTGTATGGTACTCGGCCGTTGTCGACATAAATTGTTTTCACAATTAATATTACAATGTTAGACCGTTAAAATCAGTGACTAATCAAATTTTCAGGTTCTACATTGCTTAAATTTGCTATATCATATTCATTTAATTTACTTGCATCATTCATTATTTCAAAAATTGTAAGCATAAATAGAATAATTTTTCCTTACACCAAATTTTAGTCTTCACAAAGACTCTTTATACAAAGCTCTATTTTGACTATTACATTACATTTACATTCTGCTCATTTGTTGGCAAATGAGAGTGCACATTTTAGGTGGGGGGTAAAGGGTTGGAATTGACTGGGATGGTGTAAGAAACTGAGCAATCTTACATCCATGAAATGTCCCACATAGTCACCCATTTCTAACCAAACTCCTTTGCTATTTGCTAAAGGTGTGAAAGGCGAGTTTCTGGCGCCTTCAAAACCAGAGTGCTCATTTTAGGTGGGGGTAAAGGGTTGGAATTGACTGGGATGGTGTGAAAAATTGAGCAATATCACATCCATGAAATATCCCATATAGTCACCCATTTCTAACCAAACTCCTTTTCAAAGGTGTGTAGGCGAACTTCTGGCGCCATAACCAGTCTGCTTAATTCGGCTCACAGGGCTGTCCATGCCGGATCACGATTTTTTGTTTTGCGTTAAAGTGTTCCTAGGCATGCTGATGAGCCCTGATATGGGGCTAAACAGTCTTGTGTGCATTCAATATTCTGAATAGTGAAAATCAACGACCTTGTGATATGTAAGTATAAATATACAATGTTTTTATGTATTTATACGATTGAGATCTACAAGATTCTGCATAGCTGAATGATTAGACTGTTTGATTTAAACAATTTATCGAAAGCATAAATAGTGTAGTATGTTTTGCAAAGTATGACGTCATAGGTTTAGCACTGAATGACGTCATAATGTTTTGCCTATGGTATCCAAAATCCTAGATACGCCCCTGCCCACACATTACAACTAAAAACGTCACACCTAATTCACACATCACAATAAAATATTTCACTTCACACTAATCCACAATGACAACATATTCTATACACAATAAATACAATGACGTAGGAACTACAATAACAAATACGGCTAACCTGACGTTTACTCCTCATTTGACTCTGAAGATGACTCACTGCTAAGGTTGTCGAAACGTCAGTCTACAACAACAAAAACAGTCCTTCTCAGGACTTTTATTAACCTGACGATCATCAATTACAAACATATAACGATACTCCTGGTTCAAACCATTTACTTTATATCTAAAATAAATTGCTTTCAAAGCATAAAATTATACACAAGATGCACTACATGATTTTACAGAGACAAACAATAAAACTAGAGCTATCCACCATCTACAAGGAAGTTTTCAAGATGGCAAAGAAGGTTTTTATTCTATGAATGTTAAGTCGTCATTGAAAAAAAAAACACTCAATGTGAACATAATATAATGAAAATGAATTTGAAACGATTTTCAGAGGTCTTACACTGAATTATGGATCTTTATAAATAGGCCTCAAGGAAGGCAAATGTTTCATCTGCAATCATGTCCACAACATGCTGATGTTGCTGTCATTAATAGTAATACACAGACCTGTCAATGGTAGAGTCTCCTACACAAAAAGATAGCCTTGCAAGTATGGTTACACTATTCCCATGTAAACAAGGCCCTTATTAGTTTGGTAACTAAACAATACAACAGGAAGTCCAAAAATATTTTCAAGAATCAAAGAAGAAATGAAACGCAACATACCTCATTTAATATTTAATGTCGTGTTTCGTCTTGGTCTTTAAAATTATGAAATTCAAAATGCATCAAAATTTTAAAAGTTTTGTTTAAAGCGACGTTAAGGTAAAGAAATCTTCATCAAAGCATACCAATACAAAAGCTGTTGTATTTTTACGTATACACTTGTGTACCATATTATTGAAGGTTTTCGAATTCAGACTAAAGCTCACACACTATCGTCTATATTGACGAAAACGAAAACGAAACGAAAATTCGTGCACGAAATGCATGCCAGACACGACGAAAAAATTACAAGCATGTTTGCAAAGCCAAACTTTTTGGCCAATAAGCAAGCGGCATTTTTGACGGATTAGAAAAAATAGCTATCTCTAAAAGAAAAAGATTACTTCTTCTTAAGAAAAAGTTACTGCCTTTAAAGTTGAAAACAAGCAACAGCAAAAGTCGATACTGGATTCGTCCAATTAATAAACGAGAGCCGAACAATGAAAATAGACACATAAAATACTTGCGAATGACGACGACAAATTTTGACTACATTTTGGATTCATTAAATGAAGATATGATCTTCGCACTTTGTTGTACAATTTTAAGCAATTGTCTCATAAACCCAAAAAATCAGGTGACTCAACGGGAATCGAACCATGACCTCTGCGGTGCAGTGCTCTGACCAACTGAGCTATGAAGTCACACAGTGGTGAGCAGGTCAATTTGGGTTTCATGTTTCGTGAAATGAATGTTATATGAATGTTTATGCAGTGCGGTGTTTGAAATTAAATGAAGATATGATCTTCGCACTTTGTTGGACAATTTAAGCAATTGTCTCATAAACCTGAAAAAATCAGGTGACTCAACGGGAATCGAACCCATGACACAGTGGTGAGCAGGTCAATTTTGTTGGGCTCATGTTTTCTCGTGAAATGAATGAATGACATTGTCATGGGTTCGATTCCCGTTGAGTCACCTGATTTTTCTAGTTTATGAGACAATTGCTTAAATTGTCAACAAAGTGCGAAGATCATATCTTCATTTAATTTCAAACACCGCAGGCATAAAACATTCATATAACATTCATTTCACGAGAAAACATGAGCCCAATAAAATTGACCTGCTCACCACTGTGTCATGGGTTCGATTCCGTTGAGTCACCTGATTTTCAGGTTTATGAGACAATTGCTTAAATTGTCCAACAAAGTGCGAAGATCATATCTTCATTTAATTTCAAACACCGCACTGCATAAAACATTCATTTTGGATTCAATTAGACCTCACATCACTAAAGTTGGCACACATCTTAGAAAATCTGTTAGCCCTGATTTATCAAAACCTCTTGCCACTCCGCCATGTTTGAGTACAAAGTCTGATATTATTAGCCAATAGTATGCGTTTTCGTTAACAAAAAAGGTCAAAAGTTTAATTCTTCTAATATGCACGAAAACGAAATTTTCGTCGAGTTTTCGTTCAAAATTTTCGTTGCGGCAGTTTTCGTTCTGATTTTCGTCGATATGGACGATAGTGTAGCCTTGGCTTAAAACTTATTTCCTTTCACAAACACAATTTTAGTATTGGCTAATTTTAGTTTGAACTAAGAATTCTCGATAAGAGACTCGTTTCAATAGCGCCTGTCGAATGCCATGAATATTTACGCCAAAACTTTACAGCAAAACAATATTTTCATTCAAGACAACAAGGACAAGTACGCTATTCCACTAAAAATACAGCAAAATGTAACATACCCATGTAATTTGGTTTTCTTCCGTGAGAATTTCAGAAAGACTCAATTTCCTGCTTCGCAACGTATGACGTACATGAAGTTATGGCACAAGTCGAGAATCATAAGTGACATATGAGAAGGCAAGCACGTGTTGAGAAAATCAACCATACGTCGATATTTCTGACTGGCAAACTGGACAGCGGTTGCGAAACGTATATTGTAAATACTTCGTGTCATCCATATAACATAACATGGTCTTCAGTAAACAATGGCTGAAGAAAATGGCGTACCGAATAATATCGTAGAAAATATTCTTACAAGACTGGAATTAGGCCATGACTGGACGTACTCTCTTCGCGCATTTCTCCCCAAGAAACTGGTGAAAGAGAGGTCAGGCGTTTTTTTACTGGAAGAAGAACTTCTTCAACATCACAAGCATCGTCTTCCAGGCTTGCAACCGGGAGACAAAATTCAACCTATCCAAATAACAGAAATTTTGTACGGAGGCACAATTTTCAAGGACAACGTCCTTCAAATGTTGGTCGCAAGAAAGCTAAGGAACCTAAAGTCAAAGCCATCGATAACAGGACCTTCATGCGTGACTTGGTACTGCTTGACGGACCTTCCATTCTTGTTGTCCCACGTCAGGGAGCGCGTCTGTATTTAATGGAGAGAGGGCATGTGATATCAGGATGTAGATTCACTAGAGGGATGAATGCAGCACAAGTAGAGATCACCATAATGGAGGCGTTTGATGGAAAGGTTCCTCTAGGTGTTGATATCGAAATACTGATGTCCATGCATACATCTTTGGTTGCTCCAACTTTGGCACCTGGGCAACAGGGCATTGATGGGGCAATACTGCAGCGGCTGTTTCAAAACAAACCAATTTATATTCGTCCAAGTGAACAAATAATTGTGTCTGCACCTGGACAAAAACCTATATCACAGGTGGCAAATTTGTCTTTATCCTATTGCTGAAAAATGCTATTGTTAGTCACCATATTCCATGATTGATTGACTCTTTTATAAAGTTAATATCCAGTAGTCCATTTTGATGCAATAACACGTAATAGCAATGACATTATGAAACTTTTACATATTTCAGAAGGGAAACAATCAATTTAATGAGGAAAGTCCTATTGATTTAGGTACTATATAAAGTTTATATGTTAAATTGTCATATCATATTTATGGTTTGCACATTCTTCCAAGTAAGAGAAAATGACTTTCTTTTTCTAGAAATGGAAGATGAAAATGTCTTTAGATATTTTATGGGCAGAGGATGGTACAGTGACACCATCAGTGGCACATGGTAAAACATTTGATAAATCCTGTATTGTGCTCTAATAAAATTGTACTGTTGCTTTAACTAGTACACAAAAATCATCATTAGATACATCAGAAGATTGAAATTTGAGTTCTGCAAAGTCCTCCCTACAAGATGCTGAGTTAGACAACCTAGTTACATCCCCAATGCTACAATGTAAAAGATCAAGATGAATCCCCAAATTTGCTTTAACTAAAAATTCTTGTCGTTTTTAAATATGCACTAAAATTATCAATTTGTAGATGAATCAGAAGATATGATGAATTTTGGTTCCGTGACTTCTGCCCAACAAGTTGTTGAGTCCGATAACCTTTTGGCATCATCAGAGTTGCAGGGTAAAATATTAGGAATATCTTACGTAGTGCTCTAATTAAATTGTGCTGTTGTTTTTACTTGTGCATTGATATTATCATTAGATCCATCAGACAACAGGACTTTGGAATCTGCAACACCTGCCGAATGTCCACACTTAGAGTTAGAAGGCGCCAAGCATCCTCCGACAAGGACAAGTTGCCCGCTCACTCTCCTGTTCGGAACCGCTTTCTTCACTTGTTTCGGCCTTCATTTCGGGTTCATATTGATAGGGCAGAACCTCACCCGGTTGATTTTCGTGTATGTCATCCATTACAGCAAAAAAACCCAGTAAAATACGCTTTAAATGTGTTGTAACGCCGTCAATCACAAAGTATATTGTATTGTTGTTTTGACTGCTCACCAGCCAATGACGTCACTACCGCTCGAGATAATTTTATCAAAATTTTATCCAAGATGGCGAAATTTATAAAACTTTTGCTGCAAATATCTCAGCAACAAAATATTTTTGAAAATAATTTTGCTATTTTAGTTGTTAGACATCACAAAGGTTCAAAAATATGCCATAAAAATGTTCGTTGCCAATGTCCTTTAAATTTGCCAGAAGACACTACTCTTGCGCATGCGTGCTTCATCATTAATCATAATCTTATTCCAGAATGAAACTCAATTCGCGTTTACATGAGATTAAACTAAATTTCAATCCGGAATGAAAATAGGAATGAACTCGATCCCGATCGAGTTGTGTCTCATTCCGGATTCATGTAAAGATACAAGAGAATTTCTTTTGAAATGGAATGAGTTCATTCCGGATCGAAAGTCATTCCGGATTCAAGTAAATACCCCCTAACTAAACAATACAACCGGAAGTTCAAAAATATTTTCAAGAATCAAAGAAGAAATGAAAGCCAACATACTCATTTAGTATTTAATGTAGTGTTTCGTCTTGTCTTTTAAAATTATGAAATTCAAAATGCATCAAAATTCTTAAAAAGTTTTGTTTAAAGCGACGTTAAGTTAAAGAGACCTTCATCAAAGCATATCATTACAAAAAGCTCTTGTATTTTAACGTATACACTTGTGTACCATATTATTGAAGGTTTTCTCCAATTCAGACTAAAATTTGTCTTCCTTCATAAACACAATTTTAGTATTGGCTAATTTTTGTTTGGACTAAGAATTCTCGATAAGAGATTCGTTTCAATAGCACCTGTCGAATTACATGAATATTTACGCCAAAACTTTACAGCAAAACAATATTTTCATTCAAGACAACAAGTACAAGTACGTTATTCCACTAAAAACACAGCAAAATGTAACATACCCATGTAATTTGGTTTTCTTCCGTGAGAGTTTCCGAAAGACTCAATTTCCTGCTTCGCAACGTTTATCGTACATGATGTCGTTGTTGATTATGCAGTTCGATGGGCGTACTTTGTATTTCTGTGTATATATTCACTCAATATATTCACTATGGTAATTCAATGGCGTATTTTAATTGAAATGATATAACTGGAATGCTAAGTCGTGATCATTGAACAAAAAAAAATTGAATAAAATAGATGTATTTAATCAGTGTGCCCCACGGTGACCAGACTTTCTGAAAGTAAAAACCAAGCGAAGCTCCAAAACTTCCTAAAATCAATAAAAAACTACCGAATTCGGAGATACAGTTGTTAAACAAATTCACAGGTTACGGCAAAAAATCAAAAGACAAATGCTAATAAATATACAGAAATCAACTCGTTCTTACATCAACTAAAATCATGAAGTCAAAAGAGATGAAAATGCAACAGAAGTATCTACAACGACTTATATTTACTGTTAAACTAACTGTAAATAAGTCACATTAAAAACATTGCCCAGTCTTTATCGGCCTAACTATCGATCAATACATTCAAGATCATCTATTAAATAGAAGGTATACATAGTCAAGCAACTTTGGTGAAAACCATTATTATTTTTAAGATGAACATGACATGAAATACAAAAAAAAGAATGATATTTGATCAACAAAAACAAATGAAAGAGTAAAATTCGTCCTTTTACCTTCGTTGACAGTGAGATTTTAAACTTTCCTGTTTAATCATGGCTTCGCAACGATAAAAAAGGACAATAGAAAAGAAAAAAGTTGGTGCAACGGGACCAGACGAGACTTCGAGATGTGTAAGTGTGCATGGCCCTGCCCTGGAGAATCCAGCAGGCAGCACGCTAATTAGAAAGTTCAGATTAGTCTAATTTTCGCATTGATTTGGTAACCATTGAAATTTTCATTTTATAGTTTATATTTTTCTTACAACGGGAATCCGAGATGTATAAGCGTGGCCCAGCTGAACTGATCAGTTATAAGCTATATACACGCTTATCCATCAATATCATTTCGGATCAGTGGAAATTTTCCACTAAACTGCTATCCAATGAGATTTTTGGATTAAACCGCTGCATTATTAACCAACTTGCTTAATGAAAATTTCATTTGTAAAAAAGACTTTGATGTTGGAAAAGAACAACAACATAACAATAATAACTCAAATTTCAAGATGTATATTAATAAATTTTGAAAGTTTGATTTATAAAGTTAAAGTTATTGCTCTTGTTGTTTTAGCATTCAAATCGAGAATGAAATATCCAAACGTTAAAAGTTTTATTGTTGCTCCCAAATGATGGAGGTTTTTGTACATCTAGAGCATTGCGATATTTAACAGTCGGGATTCTCCAGTACATTTGTTTATATTTTTGAGTATTAAGACGGCTCTCCTTATGTTGTCGAACAACCCACTAGCCCTGTATTCAAAATGAAACCGTACAAACTGCAAATAATTTTTGTTACGATTGGCGCTCCATAGTAGATCACTAAAGGTGTTCTTAACTATCCAACTATGGTCTTCTCTTAACTAGATGGGTCTCAAGGCATTCCCTAATCAAAGACAAATTTTGAAATTTACGATTTAGATTCATCGGAAATAAGATTTCGTGCTTTTTCAGGGCCTTTTCGTGATCCTGTTCTAAACAATTTGGTATACACAGGAAACAAGTCAGGAAAGCAGGTGTATAGTAAGATAAATAGAAAATACTTATTCAAAAACAACCAATGAATGAATCAGAATGACCAGTGTATTTTCCTATCCAAAAATGGCTTCCTTCTGGAAATCATAAAGTATTGGCAGCTCCAAAGGGAGGAAAAGATGCAAAATTCAAATCTTATCAGAAAATGTAAATGTTCGTAAAAGCCATTGCGACTTTACAACATGGAAAATGTTTATAAACACATGTTTAGAATAAATTTATGATTTTCTTGAAAACAAATTACTGTTCTCATAATTTCTTTTTTCGTCGGCTATCACGTACTCCGATTCATCATTTTTTTGCAAAGATTCATAATTATTATCTTCCATATTCATTTTCGATATGTCCAGTTCTTGATAAGTTTTATCAATTGTATCATCCTTTGGTCTCAAAGATTGATAATTATCTTCTTTATTATTCATTTTTGATAAATCCAATTCTTGATAAGTTGTATCAACAGAAATTTTTCTAACTTCAGATGGAGATTGAAATTGTTGACGTTTTTTACTTAACCAATGTTGACGATAACGCAAAAAAAATAAAATAGAGACGAAAATTCCAACGATAATTCCAGATGTTAAAGTTATTAAAATAATGTACCATTCTATTTTGCACTGTTTTATTCTCTCTTTTTGGTCATCACAAAGAACGTTGTCTAGAGAAGAAGCATAGAACTTAAAAATATGGAAAAAATCAAAAGAGTTTATTTGTATACAATACTAATATACATATGATAACAAGATTGGAATATTTTGATTGAGCAATGGATGGATTGAATTAAACATTTCCATTAAGTTTAAGGCAAAGGTCGAGATGTTAATTGCATTGTGTGGTCAGAGCAAAAGTTTGCTGTAAAAGAGCGATTTGCTTAAATTTTCTTTTAAGGATTTTTATCATCTCAGGTAGCGCATGCAAATTGAACAGAAAGAGCTAATAGTATTTTAAACATAAATATGACTTTATAGCATTTTAAATAAATTATCTTTTGTGTTGCAATCAGTAGATGAATATTTGGAAAGGAAAAATGATGTTGGAGATACATATGTTAACAAATTTACTGGTTGGAATTCTAGCCCAAACTTAAATGAAAAATGCTAAAATAGCTACACAGAAATCAACTCAAATTATTGGTTTGTTGTGGTGGATCTGTAAAGAATAAAATTAAATTCAATATTCTACACAAACGCTTATAATGAGATCTGAAATGTTTTCTTACAAACTTACAAGTAGCTTTCACTGTTACTTCAATAGATTTTTCATCTGTAAAACGTGGATCATTATAACTTTGTGCTTTACATCTGTAAGTTCCACCATCATTCAATGTAACATTAGTAATTACTAATGTCTTACTTACAACTCCAACATCACCAATTATGTTGTTTTCTTTAACAAACCATTTGACATTAGCAGGAGGGTTACCTCCTTCACCTCTACATACACATGACACATTATCACCTTCATTCACAACCAGAGGTGTTGAACAATTAATTACCACCTTTGGTTTTACTGAAATTAAAAACAGAAAATATTCCTTTCTTAAATTAGTTATGAAAATTAGTAATGAGAAATTTAATAATGAGAGTATTCGTTAGTGTTAGGTGCATTTTCTTATGAGTGTTCAATTAAACCGCTGCATTATTAACCAACTTGCTTAATGAAAATTTCATTTGTAAAAAAGACTTTGATGTTGGAAAAGAACAACAACATAACAATAATCACTCAAATTTCAAGATGCATATTAATAATAAATTTTGAAATTTTGAAAGTCAATCGCGTGACCGACTAGATATAAACAATATTGACTTATTATGAAGCCTAAACAACTATCGTTGGTCTTCGAAGAACTATAAACAAATCATAGTCTCTTGATAACCTATTTAATGAAGATATGCAATACGCAAAGTTAAAGCTAGGTGACGACGGATGCATACGTCAGCGCAGCAGGCAGCAATAGGGGTATATGAGGCGTAAGCTCAAGAATCAATCATAATTGGGAGTGGTAGTCTTTCAGCAAAACGAATCTAAATCTCGCCAACAAAGAAAAATATATAACTATCTTCATTGTTCAGCACAATCTTGTACTATCGTGTACAAATGGGATGAAACTGAACAGTCGTAATTTGTTCATGTACAATGTAGAATACTAGCCCAAAAATTGATGAAGTAAAATTTTGATCTTACCTTTGATGATAGTAAGATTTTTAACATCAGATGAATCATTTCCCAGTTTATTCTTTGCTTCACAACGATATGAACCTTGGTGACTGAAGTTGACTGACTTAATAATGTATGTCTTTTATTACTGATAACTGCACCATTGTGATAAATAGTGTAGGTTGGTTCAAGATAACCATCTGATTCACAGGTTATTGTCACATTTTGACCTTTTTTTACTGACATTGGACTGATGGTAATATTGGTTTGTTGTGGTAGATCTGAATAAAATTAACAAAATTCAATATTCTGTAAACGTTTATAATGAGATCTGAAATGCTGTCTTACAAACTTACAAGTACCTTTCACTATTACTTCAATAGATTTTTCATCTCTTAAACGTGGATCATTGTATCTTTGTGCTTTACATCTGTAATTTCCACCATCATTCATTGTAACATTAGTGATTACTAATGTCTTACTTACAACTCCAACATCACCAAGTATGTTGTTATCTTTATCAAACCATGTGACATTAGCAGGAGGGTTACCTCCTTCACCTCTACATACACATGACACATTATCACCTTCATTTACAACCAGAGGTGTTGAACAATTAATTCTCGCGTTTGGTTTAACTAAAGAAAGATAAGACAAATTGAAGACATCGTTTTACATAACCACTACCTAATAACTATACAGTGTAGAACAAAAATATTTTTAACCATGAAATGTTGAAATGTTTGTTACATCCTTTCATATGATGGTAAAAACTGTTTTTTTATTGTACGAATCATATTTTTATGATTTCCCAACAACACAACAGATATATGAAACATTTTAAGAGAACGACGATTGTTTTGAAACTAAACATGGGTTTCGGCCAGCTTATACCATCTTCAATACAGAGGAATGAGAAATATATTCATATGAAATATGTTACAGGTATCAAATTACTGAATAATTTAGAGATACGTAGAAATTGAAGATGGTGTTGATGTGATGAATTTGTTTGTTTGACTTTTTTAGTATAGAGAGCTTCTTTAAGTTTTAGAGTAAAATAAAAGGTAACCGATGTCCAGGATGCAAAATCATAAGTTGTTTTAGTTTTACATTGTAGTGAAGTGTGAAGGTGTTTGTAAATGTGTAAATTTTTGTTGGAAGTTGTGTGTTCTTTGATGAGTGTGAAGAAATGGCGAGTTATCTCCTAAATAATATAAGGAGAATTACATCACGCAAAAGAATCGAAAAAAAAGGAAATAGTGTCTTTCAGTGGCTTTTATTTTGTGGGAGGAATTTGGCTTTAACCTGTGGAATTTTCTCAAAGGAATAAACTACTTTAATGTCCACATAATTACAGAAGCGTCTTGTACACTTTCGTAGTTTTTGCTGGGTAGTTTGTAATAGAAAGACTTGGATTTAGTTTCGTTAGAATAGTCTGTAGTTGATTTGACTGGTTTGTGTGTCTGGTTTTTCTTCACATTGAAACATTCGACAACTTTTGTTTATGAAGTGTAAACGAAAAAGAATTGCGTTTTCAGGTTTTCACTAGTGTGTTTACTTCGTTTTAGTAGCCGTTTGATGTACCGTTGATATTGCTTGTCACATCAAAACCAGATATTATCCCAAACTAGTCGCTATCTAAGGCTTAAATCTTTCCGCCCCAGTCATGTAAAAGATGCATAATCAGTCATTAAAGACGGAAATTTTCCATTACTCTTACACAAACTTCAATTTTATCCTTAATCCCTGAATTAATGCCTCCTCAATGTACAACAATACGCATGGAAAGGCCACTGTACAACTGACGAAGATGAATTTGAAGCAATTGATCGTGGCTGCTCAACTTTTTTGCAGACTTTTGAAAAGGTTTCAATTCAATAGACCAAAATATTTTACAACATAAGTTGGAAAATTGAACGTTTTACTAAGAGGATTACAGCTTTTTAAACTATACTTAACAACAAGCTGTAAGAATTGGAGATGCTTTGTCTGAATGAAGAGCAATAATAGAAGAGGCACAAAGTTATGCGTCATTTTATTGCAATGTAATGAAAAAGAGATTTATAGATAAAACAAAATGGACATTTTCGAAGTGTTTGAGATTTCTAATCTTCTTTCTTTCATTTTATACTTTATATTTCATAACGAAAGCATTTTGTTTTTCGTGTATAAATAGCTCCAAAATGAACCAGTAATACGAGGATACTAAATGTACGTGAGTACTAAATGTTAAAAAGTTTCCAAATTTTTGATATTTATTCATGAGTCAGGTAACAGTTTTCCACTTTCCCAGTTTTAAAAGCTGTTTCAAAAAATATGAATCATTTTCTTTGATCAGTGATTTCAATGTTTAATTGGGTTTGATACCGTTTACAGGTTGAGTAAATTTCATTAAATAGTAACATTATGAAACATTATGTTAAGAGCATAATTTGTAGATGAGAGAGAATTATAAAAAGCTATTTTATTTAATGAGACCTTGTCATCGAATCTTTTTATAACACTTGAAATTCCCACTTTACCTGCTAACTTCTTCGCACTTACAATCAATGTTTCTAAACCTGTGGCAACTTCATAAGCACTACTATTGACAAGATCGTTAGTACAAACATGCATAATAATAGTACCATATTTATTTTGGGGGATCTCCAGGACATTTAACTGGATGTCCTTTACTTTTGCACCACTGAAGGAGTGGCAGGTAGATTTCCCTCTCGCTGCCTAGGAGATCTTTTTTGGATCTATATGTTTTAACATTGAGTCACCAATGATGAGAGTTGATGCCGCTGAATAATTCTAGTTTTTTGGTCAGTTATATCTTGGTCGTCATTAGGAATGTCAATTTTTGATTTGTTGAACTTTTCCTTCTGCTTTCAGCGGTAGGCATTCAGTTGGGACTGAGTTGACTGAGTGAGGCATACTTCCATTGATGGTTTTCTAACTGTCGGAGCTACGTGATTT